TTGGAATTCTTGACATGCTTGGAGACGAAGTACATCTCGTTGATTGGCATTCTTGGATGCTTGAAGACGAAGTGCACCTCATTGATTGGAATTCATTCTTGACATGCTTGGAGACGAAGTGCACCTTGTTGATTCGCATGCTTGGAGACGAAGTGCACCTTGTTGATTGGAATTCTTGACATGCTTGGAGACGAAGTGCACCTTGTTGATCGGAATTCTTAACATGTTTTTGAAGACGAAGTGCACCTCGTTGATTGCAATTTTTGACATGCTTGCAAACGAAGTGCACTCGTTATTTGGAAAAGTCGACACGCACTGATGAAACAACGACCTGTCCTTGGTGCTTGTGTCATCTTGTGTGCGTCGGCCTGGCAGTTGTTTAGCCTACGAAGTGCAGTGCAATCAAGGAAGGCAGTGAGGGCGGTGTCGCAAGTTCTGGCAATGCACCACAGTTCATGAAGCCTGAAACTCGACATGGCGTGCAGTGTGCAATCTGACCTCACAAAGGCTGGTGCTTGTGATGGAGGGCCCGAGCGGTGCCGAGGCGGCACCGCGCATTGCAATGGAGGCCCGAGCGGCACCGAGGCGGCACCACGCATTGCAATGGAGGGCCGGCCCGAGCGGCACCGAGACGGTACCGCGCATTGTAACAGAGGGTCCGAGCGACCGAGGCGGTACCGCGCAAAGGGCTCAAGCCGTAATGAAGTGGTACCGAGGTGGCATCGCGCACTGTAACGGTCCGACCCAACCCAGATTGAAACCGTACCCTATGCTGCAGCCGACTGGGCGATACCTGGAAGACCAACTGATTGCCTCTGGCCTGCGATTCGTCCAGTGGTGCCATGCCTCGCCAAACGTGGACGCAAGAAAGGATCCCAAGAACAGCCCTACGGTGAGGATGAGCTGAAAAGAGCAAAGGCGGGAAATGATGGCATTCTGGCCCTTGCAACCACTCGAGAAGGAGCTCAAAATCTGCGTGATTACTTTGACATTGCTGGGAAAAGGGCTACTGCAGAAACGGTGAGCCAATCCGCGTCGTCACGTGTGAATGCAAAAGGCACATGGACTCTATCTTCCGCACTATCAGTTAGGTCCAGCGAATTACTGTCCTCCATCCATGGGTCATGTGATGAGTTACAAG